ATTGGCTCTCCAACATGAATTTTACAAGGTCAAGAGCCAAGTGGCTTTCCTATAGTCTCGGGGGGGTCGGTGTTGAGCGATCGCCGCAGCCTGCGCATTGCTATTTCTGGAGATGGGTTGAGCTCACCTAGCAGCAAGGTGAGGAAGAGCTCCTTGCAAGGGCCCAGCCCCTGTATTGAATGACGTGAATCTGGCAATGTTTGATGTTGGGCTAAGTCGGTTCCTTGTATTTCATAGGTAATTAAATGTAAGGGCTATGATTGTTCTCTCTGGCATTGTGTAACAAGAGATGATAAAACTTCAAGGCTGTGATCCAAATTACATTTTATATGAAAGCTGAGTTGCAGGAAGGAAACTTGGCTTTTTCCTGACCACAACTGAATGCTAATCCCTCCTTGTCTACTGAAGTTGCAACATTTTTAAGTAATTAATTAGTTTTAGCATTTAGCTACTGAAAAACTTTGAAGGAAACATTCTTTTGATATCTAAACTTTACAGCTGTCAAGCAGTTAAATGCATTCTGCTTAATAACAGCTTAGCAAATGCCACTAAAGAAATGTCCTGAGATCACTACTGAAAACCATCTTTTATCTTCTGAAAGGCAGCACAATTAATTCCTTTAAAAAATATTGGTCTCCCCCCCGCCAGAAAAAAAGGTGAGAGAGAAATCCCTAAACAACTTAAGACAGTCAGTAAGAAACGAATCTAGGCCTCTCTGTTTTGGGCCTGTGTCAACAGGACCAAGACTTATGTGGGATGTGAGGCAACCCACCAGATATCACAGACTGCACCAGTGAAAATATAACAGTCAGTTTCCTTTTCAAGTTAAACTTGCTGGCTTTGTATTTGTGTAGATTGAACCACTGAGTAGTGCTTTTTCATCTTGAGAGGTGAAAAGTTTTGAGAAAATGCATGGAGATGAAATCTAAATTTCTTGGATGAAAATGTGAATGGAGACGTCAAAAGACATAAACATTCAAGCCAAAGAATATTGTTGCTGGGCTTCTGCCAAGTTTGTTATCATGATGTACAGCTGGGAATAGATTTTGCATTCATAAAATAAATAACAGGTTTGTAAAATGTCTTTAAGCCCAGAGAATTTTTGGGCCGTGACTGAAATCCTGCTCAGCTCATTATTTCAATGCTTATAGGCTAGATCTATCATTTCTTCTAAAGCATTAACCACAGACACTTCTATGCTCCTCAGAGCATCTGATTTCCCTGCTGCAAGTAATTTATTGTAAAACATCTAGTTACCCAGGCCCTGGAATCACCTGATATGGTTTCTCCACTTTCCCACTACTCCTGGCTAAATAATTTATCTGGTAAAAAGGGGCAGGTGATTAGCATAATCCAAAACTGCCCTGAGATGGTTGGTTGGATGTTATTTGTTTTGACAGGGTCAATAATCAAATCTTCAATGACCAGTTTGGGATCAGAGTCTCGTGGACAGATTGGGTATGAGGGGGAGACATCCCTCCACCATTTTTGCTCCATTCACAGCTATTTTGTAACAGTACTACAATGGATATTTCTAGAGAAGGGCTGTTTTGGGAGGTTTCCATCTCATTCTACAATAGTGGAAGAGTGGATTAACCCCATCTTAAAGCAGCGTGTGTCTTGTGAAGAGTGTAAATGGACAACATTCTTTTGCAAAATGCATGTAATTTGCAGTGTTTATATCCTAGTGTTCGTCTTTGAGAGTCAAGAAGGACTTCAAGGAACTGCCAGAAA